TTTGTTTTCTCATTAGCTGTGTACTAAATTAAAGAACCGTTAATAAGCTCGGTATTAATACACTATTTTGAGTCGTAAATTATATCTTTTAATACACCTGAAATCACATCAAGCTTTATTTTTTTTTCATAATTCTATGTATGTTTCATATAACGATTAGCTTTACAAAGTCATTGGCAGTTAGGAAGATCGCCTAACAAATGGTACTTCACTTGGTTCATACTTTTCCTCTTAAAGATAATTCATTTAGGAAGGACTTATAAGAAGATTAACAATATAAGCTCAGAGTTAACAGCTATTTGCAAAGTTAAATAAAATAATCCCCGTTTTGCACACTTTATCCACAGTCTCAGCACAAGATTTTAACTCGAAATCTGCTCTGAACTTCAATTATTTCTTAGCATAAAATGAAGTAAAAGTCAAAATATTCTATGAAGACCGATTTCAAAACACAAATAAAAGAGACAGAAAAGGAGCTTTTCCAATTTAGATTATATCGAATAAATCCTTGAACAGAGACTTTCTGTCGAATGTTTCCCTATAAATTCGAATTCACCATGATAAGGACAATGCATTCTATTCCCAGCTTTGACTCACTGGCTGTGCAAGCACAATCTGAAAGGGAGAGCATTTGAAATGGAGATTTTGGTAGAAGAAAGCGAAGAGGTTCTATGCTTCCTAAGACCCCCCCTTTACCTCGTGGTACTGATGGATGAGCGAGAGAACAGATGTATCCAGTCAATCGCAAACGATAGACTGTGCGTGATGCATTCGGTCTATAGACCGTATTTTGCTTCTGCGTGTTGCCAACTGTGAGGGAAAAGGTACGAGTGGATTAGAAATCACGATATAGAATTTGGTTGTGGCATCTTTTGTTATGCACGTTCGCTGAAGGCCCTCGTAAATTACCTTTACCCCTTTCCTCTGAATTTAAGAGCGGATTTAAATAAAAGATACGGAATCGGCTTTAGAAAGAGGTAAATGATACCAATGTTTTTTTGTTTCGAATATGTTCGCAACAAGATATCTGTGATGATATCGTTTTCTTTTCTGCACATTTGTAGTGAGAAATATTTGTAACCTAAAAAATTTTCTGGTTTAAAATTCTAGAACGTAGTGTGATTAAAAATTTAAAAGTGTAGTTACAAATTTTAAGACATATTATTTTAAAAAATTCCAATAAATCAAACGATAATTGAGAGCATGTATGACTGTGATATCTCAACTTACCTCTTCTAAAACATTGTCTGCTAAAGGAAAATATTTACCAGTTAATAACTTGCATTTATACAGAAAATATCATGGATTCGATGCAGAAATATTTCATATCATGAATTGACCTACGTGTTTTTAAAACGACTTGCTGTAAATGAAAGCAGGGCATTGCGTATGATTCTGAAACTAAATAGAAATCATCATACTAGATTGAAGAAATCTCACAGTGTTATGTTTCCTAAAGGTAAGGTACCTAAAAGGTTTCCTACTCTGTTGACATAACACTTAAAATTTTCTAACAACAGTAATAACTAATATCAATAAGCCCTGTACATTTGCGTTGTGTTTTCGGATTAACCCTGAAATCAATTTGAGAATGAGATGGGTGAAAATCATGAGCATACACACAAAAAAGAAATAAATAAACATTGATTGATCTAGAAAAGTGAGCCTATTTATTAAATTCTTCAAGAATTACTTAATCCATAATTTGTAGGCAATTTATATTCAATCAGAACTGTAACATATTGATGATTACGCAATGCAGAATTAACTTAGTAAGCAATTATATTCAAGCTGAACTGTAAAATATTGCTTTCTACAAATGCATACCCCTACAGAGTAATATTACTTTTATCTTAGACTCAATAATATCAAACTATTATTTCTATTACATTCAGGTAAACATGATCAGATAAACTTTGGATAAATTAACAATACCCTAACCCTCCCCGGGGAGAAAAAAAAGAATACTTAACAAGTTATACTTTCCAAAAAACATTTTTCACACAGAGTAATCAATACCAATGTAATTCAGGTTATTGCACATAGTAACTTTCTATTTTCAAAATTTCAAAAAATGATTTAACCGGGTAATATGTTAATTAAAATCAGGCTATTACACACCTACTAGCAAGTTTAGTCCCTAAGAGGAGCAAAGAAGCTCAAATAATGACACCTTTACCAATCAATCTTCACCATGAAAGAAATTCACAAGTTCAATAAATAATTTAATGAAGAATATATTTCCTTAACCATCTAACTAACTAAGTTACATTCACTGTTTCAATTAAATAATTTAAATAAGGATATATTTCCTTAGCCAATCTAATAATTTACTTTATGGACAAACAAAATGATTTCATTAGAATTAGGTTAATTTACTCAACTACAATATTTTACTTCAACTAATTAAGTTATTTCAATCGCTATTAACTATTTTAGTTATTAGAATTACTATTAGAATTTACTATTAGAATTTACTATTAGAATTTTTCTTTTTTTAACATCAGACCAACAAATAAAAGAAAACAAATAAAAAGACTTATCTGATGAATTACAGGCTGCAAGTGAATAGGAGGAGGAGAAATGCCCTCATATTTAAAAAATTATCAAGATGCCAAGGAGGACGGCTGCCGAGCGTGGTAGAAAATGAGAAGAGTTCATAGGTAGATGAATTTTCAATAGAGTCCAGAAGTTTCTAATTGATTTAGGATGCACTAAGGAGGTTCTCATTACTCTGATAGTTGATTTCCAATCCAATATTGAAGTTAGCCGTGTTCCAGTTAAGTGAAGCATTATGTAGTAGCGACCCCGGAGCTAGCAGTGCCGGAGACTCTTGCAGGGCGGAAAATAATTCTTAAAGGCGTGAAACATCGAGGCAGATGAAAACTCTATTCATGGAGGAGAGACTAAAATTTTCTTCTTAACGGCACCAGTACTAGGCATCACCCTTCGTTGCATTTTTCTATTTTAATTATCTTTTGAGTAACTTACATATTCAAGCACTAAACTGATGAGACTATAAGTTAGTCGAGGTCATGATGCATATAACTAAGTCCCTCGTTCAAAACTCAAGGGCAAGAAGCCCGTAGATCCAAAGGCGGAAAAATGCATTTTCCAAAATAAAATTCAGCTGCCAGCGAGTACAGCGTCCGATGGTAAGTCAAAAGTGCAAAAAAGTGGCCTTGTCCCTCAAAACACCCCGTTAAAAGGGAGGACGCCGGACTGCCTAGTTGGCAAAATCCACTCTTCTCCGAAAGTTAAAATAGTTGCAACAACAGCATACCTTCATGTTATCAAACTCGCCAAATCCATTACTTTGAAACCTCAACGGAAAATCTATGTCGCCAAACCTTCGCCAAAAAAAAACCACCTGTGACAGGGGAAATTAGGAATTTCAACAACCCTGCAAGGGTCCCAAGGAAAGAACGCTGCAAACTCGCAAAAAGTGACTTTTCAACCGGAAAGAAGGCATTTCATCCCCCTTTAACTAAATCACAAACGAAGAAAGACTACTAATTAAAGCTCATAACTGAAGTGCAATTAAAGTTAGAAAAACGAAAGTTATGCCAAATTAAAGAGCTAATTTTTCTGCAACTAATGATATTAAATACTAAGAAATCAAATTAATTTTTGACATGAAAAACTGAGTTTATTACGTAGAAAGAAATACTTATCCATTGTTTGCGTGTACAAGATTGAAGACACAGTTCGCGTAAACTCGGAAAGCCAAAATATATTACACTAGAATTAATAGGCTCAAAAAGAATATAACCAAACTTGTGTAGCTCAAATTTTGAATAATTACAAATTAAAATTTTGATTTTTATGAATCACTTAATTAAATTAAATTCGCTACACAACAACAGTGATATTAGAAACTTCAGTTTCAGAAATTTCGAGTACAGTCCAGCTTGGCGATCCTTTTTAATTGTGAAGAAGTAATTGATAAGAAACTTAATTCTGAGATATAGACTGTAAATTCGAATTTTTTATAAAGGCATAAAAATAGATTTCTAAGCAAAATTTAACGAGCTAGCCCTGAAAAGTTTTGATTAAGCAACTGATTTCTGGTGCGCGACGATGTACTGTCATACAATTTCCTCGTCTCGCAAATTCCAGCAAAGAAAAGTATTCCAGATTTCAACCGCCCTTTTTATTTACCAGGTTTGGTATCTGTAGACTACTTCACCAAAGTTAAGGTCTCACTTGAAAAGCCGTTATTTTAAAAGCGCCAAATAAATCCGTAACCAGATATTTAAAGAATATTCTAAATGATGAGTTCTAAGATGGAATCGGTCTAGTTAAAATAGTCTTCGAAATGTTATATAGATGAGAAGGATTATATTTTTGAAGGCTAGGTAATAAGAATGTTGGCATTTAGGTTTTAATTTTATAATTACTGCTTTGTAGACTTACTACTTATTACTACGTATAACTTTCTGTATAGGACGGACACCGTATCTCTAATTAATAATTACATATCTGTGCTAGCAACGTTTCACTTCAGATGCAGATCTTATTTGCTGTTGCTTATGCATTAACTTTAATTATATTCCCAAGCCGTACGTAAAATGTAACATAGCACAAAAGAGGCACTCTTAAGACTTAAAGCGGTCAAACTGCGCCCAAAATTATAGTATAGTTCCACTGAATATTGTTCGGTTTGGTATCGTACATTTTCGATAATCCTAAGAAATCCAAAAAAGAAATTAAACTTTAGAAAACACGAAAGATGCAATAAAAATAATTTAAAGAAATTCTTTTTTAATTTAAGAAAGGGCATAAATGTGTGAGTTTGACTGTGAAAAATGTCTCAACATTAGGTCAGTTTATAAAATACTTTTTAATTAATAAGTATTGTACGATGCAAAAAATACGTCAGTATAAGTAGTCAAAAAGGATGTTGTAGTAAGAGAGAAAAAATAACTGAAGAAAAAATAACATTAAGATAAAACTAAGTGTAAGAAAAAAATATTTGACTAATTTAGATTTTCTTTCAGTGAAAGTACTTACAGAGATTCAACACTGCTGTCATCTCCAGCTGCAACTTAAAGAAAGGGAAATACCTTATACAGAAGGACAGATTGATGAAATTTCGAGAACATGCTAAAATTGACCACGAAGCATTTTATAATGAAGCAAAGAAAAGAATGAATAGAAAATCGTCCCATCTAGCAATGCAAATGTAAACTGAAATGACTGTTAACAGATGGGATGTGAGAACAAGTAGTTCAGTTTATTTGAAATACAGAAAAGCACATGAAGGCTACCTACCTAAGGGTAGGAAGGAGTTTATGGTAGAATTTGTAAAGGAAATAAGGCCACGCTTATGTTACACCTGGAGAAAACCACTAAACCTCCCTTGAAACCGACCTTGTTCTCTGAGATTTAAGCCCTGATCAAACTACTAGTGTTGCTAGACCACCGTTGTGCGAAAGCATGTTAACATTTTAGTCATTCGCTAATACAGTGACATTGTGGTTAATTGCTACTAATGTTTTTAAACTTAGTCAATTTCTCTTTCTGATTGTAATGCTTGTTTTCATTAGTCGATGCTGAGGAAGTAGTTCGTTTATGTTTGATTCGCTGAAAGACTTTCTGTTAAAATAAAATCTAGATCAATCAGCGTCTTTAGACTCACATTGGTATAGGACGAGACATGTTTGTAAGTGAGTATTGTTTTGATATAAGCACAAGAATAATTTTTAAGATTTTGATTTTGCTTGAAAAACCTGGGCTTTAATTTACTTTTCTGTATAATTTTCTTCTTCTTACCGTAATGTACGACCAGCTTCAGAAATCTGTCTTAATAGAAATCTGTCACTTAATTTGATAATCAGCGTGAGCACAACTTTCCATCATCAGGAAGTTTTCCGATGTTTCAGGAAGTGTTCTGCGTGAAACTGAGACAGAACCCTTAAATTATCGAAAGTCGTGTTTGCACTGGTTATCAAATCAGGCGACAAATTTATACGAAAATAGAATTCAGAAGCTGGTCTTATGATCTGAAAAATGCTTTAATGTAATTAGAAATTATGTTGGAAAGTAGATTGAAGCTGAGGCTTTCGTAAAAAATGAAAATTTCAAAACTTATGTTTCTTGTATTTGTATAATGCCAATATAACACTCAATTCGATATGTACTTAATTCACGAGCACATGTACTTAACTCGATATTTTTATATAAACTTCTGCTACTGAGGCATATAAATTGTAGTAATAATGATATGACTGATACAAATATAGATAAGATATAATTATGCCTATGCATTCCTACACACTATTATTCTGAAACATTGAATCAACGAGTCACCTATACGACTAAGCTTAACACATGGTATTATTACCACCACCAGCTTTCACACTTTCAGTGGACTAGCTATCCTCCTAGTGTCGCAAATGTAGTGTGAACTTTCTTTTAATATTATTTAGATTTTTTATTTTCTTGTTACATTATGATAAGTTTACTTCGTTTTTAGACCCTCAGAAGGGGTAAATCGACTTCGTTTTTAGACCCTCAGAAGGGGTAAATTGATTCTTCAAAATCAATTATTGATTAGTGCTCCTGCGTTTTGTGACATCTGGCTCAAGAAAGACCACGCGAAATTACTCTGTTTCCATAAATGTGGTAGAAAGTTTTGCTTAGAAATACATTTCTCCTTGACACACATAATGCTGCACCTTGCTCTAATTCGATGTGGTCTTTTATCAGCCTACTATTGCTTATATTAAATATTATCAAACTGTTTTTAGGTCTAAAATAACTTTCAATATATTTCAGCTTTCAGACTGTAGGTATCTTCAAAAAGATTCAAATATTATTAGACGACCAGTTAGACGTATCAGATCTCTGAATACGTTTTACCTAATTCAATGAAATGAAGAACGTTCCAACATCTATTCCGATGGATGATTTATAGTCCGGAAAAACAGAAATGTTCATCTTATTTAACTGCAAAGATGGAACTACCTGCTATACGTATATTAAAGCCCTGATGAACAAAGTTAGATAATCCGAAATACCAATTAATTTGAAATGCGTTGTAATATCGTAGCTAAATCAGAATTCCTTGTAAAATACTGAACAACTGTGTAGCAACTATTCACTGATTTCTTGTAAGTAGCAAGTCCAAAGAAGGGTTAAATTACCTTTATTTCAACTCAAAATAAATTAACAGATGGCCCCCTTCTCTAATGTACAATAAGCCTTCTCTTGCTTTAACTCAGTATAGAAAATCTAAAACTAATCTGATATTCAATAATACTAAATAAAACAGAAGTTGCACAGAATCAACTAACAGAGTTGGTACTTATTTAAGGATCACCGTCAATAAGTTTAGACTAGTAGCAATAACGTGGCCGAAAGTCAGAACACGCTGTTCTACTGAAGCGGCCCAGACTTCATCTTAAACACTCATTTCTACCTCATTTGCATAAGAAATAATCCTGAAAACTCGTTCTGGTAGAGAAACGTAGCTGGGAAATGAGAATGTATAGGAAAGGCTTGTTCCAGAATAAAAATAACAATGTGAAAATTAAAGTAAACACAATAGTGTAATGAACTGAAACTGAATTGGTAAGCTTAAAACCAAACATTACGAATCCTTTAAATAAACTTCATTTCATTTTTTTTATTACTCTAACGAAAATGTATATTTTATACAGTTCTGAAGATTCAGTACTGGCGATAGAAATACCTATACTCCTGTATGGGTTACGTGAATTAAAGTTTGCTTCCAACTGCGAGATTTCTCTGGAAATGAGTGAAGTAACAAAAATAAAAATGTAAGCGAGTTCAATAAGTTATGATAAAACTGTATTTCATTTAAAACAATTTTCTATTTTACTTAATTTGTGTCCATGTGATGACGGATGAAAAGCTACTAAGTTCTAATTAACTGAATGTTGAGTAAAATGTTAACATTTCCCTTTCTTTAATTACACATTCATATTATGACTTTTTCGTCATTAATTTGTTTTTAAATCTGAAAGCTTTCAGATTCTATATTACGCTAAAAGGAACTATTTTTTCATATATACATACATACACGTCTCGAGAGCATTTGGGCTATTCCTTTGGGCTAAAAATATTTAAAAACAGCATTTCTTTAGAATTTCTGACAGATAGTTTCGCGCGCTGGTGATAAAAATATTTTATTCCGTACAGTGTGTTGCCACTGCACCCTTTGAAATCGTTGCGTTTCTTAATCAAGAATTCTTTAAAGTTTAAAAAATATGAAATAGATAATAAAACAAATTCGAAATTCAAGATTCGGAATTCCAGGTACCTCATATTCGGGTGGAGGATTAGGTTATTCAAAATTTGATGGCTCTAGGTGTCCTTATGTTTTAACATTGCAAGAAACATGCACACATTCACGCAGTTCCTTCCTTATTTAAATTCCTTAAATATAGAACAGGACAACAAATATTTGATGGCAAAAATCTGAAAAGTTATGCAGCTGTTCTAATTATCTTCTGGACTAAAGCTTATTTGGACTTTTTTTTTTAAAAAAAGAAAATTTTAAATTTTATTTTTAAACACATTATAGAACAACTTTTTTGTCGAAAGTGATATTACCCACCAGCGGCTGAGTGACTGAAGACCACCGAGTACTTTTTATTCTATATGCTTCAAATTCTAGAAAATGGGTTTATTGAATGGATAAGAGTTTCTCAGTTTTATCTGAAGTAACATGAATATGATCCAGTTTCAGTAAGAAACTCCTTCTAGAAGGCATTCCTTCTCTTAGGAAGATAGCTCTTTACGTCCTTTGCCTTAATCATTCAAAAACTTATGTGCACAAAAATGAGCCGTTTATATTTTTTAATAAAAAGAATGATCATGCATTATCTTGTAAAAGCGTTCCTGGAAACCCCTACTTCTCTTTAATCAGTTCAGATACGTTAGATTCTTTTGTAATATTTACCGTTGTTCACTGATTATATTGCACATTCAGAATATATTTGAATACTTCTTAAATTTCAAATTTTTGAACTTCCTTGCAAACGTATCTGGAGGAGTACAATGCTTTTACCTATTTTAGACCTCAATCAATAACTCAAAATCCTATTATTTACCGAAGCATGCATCAATAATAACGCATACATCAATCCATCATACAATCATACAACCGATGCATACATTAATACATCATACAATGAATTCGAAAATTATGTCTTTTATATATTAATATGAATATAATATCTTAATATCTATTATTATCTTCTATGTCTTAATATTTATTTAATTGATTTTTACGAAACAATGAATTAATCTTTTTACTTCATTTTTCATGACATTTTACTTCAAATTAAGCATATCTTTATTAAGCATCCTGTGACATGATAATAATACTACTTGATCCATTTTTTTGATCCTCCGGAAATTCGAATAGTCCTTGAGTATATTAAGAATAATGCATAAACTTATTCAAAGTGATTTTTCAATAACTGAACAAAGCATATTACTTAGAGATCTTGAACAGCATCATCTACGCATCTCAATACTTTTTATACACAGAAAGTTAATCGCCGACAGTGCTGACGTCCTGTACGCAGTTAGAGCGATTCGCTGGAAATTGAAAGAACTTTGTCTCGAATCCATGGAAGGTTTAAGCATTCCCATAAAAATAGCCTAGAATGATGTGATCTGGAGATTATTATCTCGATGGGCTTAGTACTTAAATGAGATTCTGGTGCCAAAAGTCTCTTCTATCATCTACACGGTGAAATCTGCTTTGTAAAACTTCTCACTAACTTGCAATATCCAAGAATGATTTTTATCTCCTATAGTAAAACAATAAACTGCCATAGAGATCTTGGAAAAGGCTCAGCATCCATAATTGTTTTAAAGAACACAAATCCGATTATTCGTCACTTTGACTTCGTACACGAGAGAAATGTTTTCAAGAGGCAGAAGAGGCTTGATAACAGCTGCAGGATTTTAGAACTCCATGTTCAGTAATTTGCGCAACATATATGTTTGTTCAATGGAACCTTGTCTTATCTGTAATATAAATCTGATGTGAAACGAAAATGTCGCCACGAATAAATTTCTTTCTAAACGTCAGTTACAGATATGACACACAGTATGACAGTGTTCAACACTTGGTTCCGCAAAATACTCATAAAATTCCGTTCTAAGGAATCCATGCTGTCCGCCATGTAACTAATTTACATGTAGTGCAGCAGTACAGAAATTGGAAAATCATTGTGAGCAAATTATTCGCAATGTTACATACACTGAAATATGCAGTTCATTTTCAGTTTGAATACCGTGGACAATAATATGTAAGAAAAATACAAATTTTTGTATATCACTAATGGATACTTTGCGAAAGGATATTATATTCTAAATTATATATCATTATCACTCTTGATTTTCTTCTGTTCACAAAAGTAAAGTTTCATTGATAGTGAATCACAGCGAAGTCATTAGTGAATATTTTTAATATTGTTTTCTTTAAAAATAAAAACATTTTTCGAAACATTTTTATGAAAATTATTTTTTCAAACTTTTACTACAGTTTTGACCGTTTCGATGATAAGTATGTGTTATGCCTTATTTATACCATTATAAACTTCCAAGCTCACTAACAAACATATCTGTTATATTGAAATTTGAATGTAATTCCAAATGGTTTCTGTAGAGAATCAGCTAGAAGGAACCACAAACTGAGATAGGATAATTAATTTGTGAATAGTTGGATGAAGATATTTAGCAAAGCCGAAAACGTTTCAGCTTTCGACTAATATGTGTTCTGATATAACTATCAAACTCCTAATAGGAACTTATCCTTCCATAGAGATGGAAAGGATCGATATATTTATTACATGTGATAAAAAACAGTAAAGAAGAAAACCGTGCAGCGACACAAAACCTTGTAAATGAAAAGCACATAAAAAGAAACAGATCTGGAAAACAGATAATGAATAACGGAACTAGAGAGACGAGATTATTTCCGATACAAGATGAAGCACGTATCTTAAGCTCTAAATATTTTTGCAAAACTTACAAGACTAAAAAAAGAACATTAACCAGATGTCTGCTGAAGATTTATTGTTTGAATCAAATTGAATTATGGAACTGTTTTTTGATTGTCCAAAAAACAGTCTACCCTAGTGGTGATATATTGAACTG